AAATTGAAGTCTGATGTCCAGATGCCATGGGGAGAGGTAGCAATTGCCAGATCGGTCTTGGCCATCGAAAGGATTCTGATGCAGCGTCTATAATATTCCTACTCCGCCGATAATTATTCTTGGCTTCTGTTGGATTGTAGTAGTTACACCCTCGGATATTATATTTTTGTATTAGAATTACAGAAGTTATCACGTATTTTAGTACAGTCTTCAGGACAACAAACTGATCACGCTTGAACGTTATCGGCGAGGATCCGCTCTCATGTTTGAATGCTGTCAGCCAAAGGCGCAAGGGATCCTTCATCTAAATCGTAAGATTAATGAAAAATATAAGAATGCTTACCTGGAATCCAGCCAAGAACGAGATTTACAATCACGTAATCATGAGGTACATGTACAATGCAACTAATAATACATCATACAAACATGAAGTCAGAGTGATCACAAATATAATACAATTCATTTTTTCTGTCATCATGGATTATGATCCCAATCCAAGCAAATCGTCTGGGATAACCACCTCCCGACAACAGTTGCCCAGTAGGTTCATTTTAGGATGATCGAATTTCAATTGCAATTTCACTATGAAATAGCGAATATAAACTTGCAGGAATATTATAATACTACTTACTAATACTATTTAGAATTGTTTTGTGTGTTGCACGAGAGTACGCTTCATGCAATTCCATGCATCTGCATTTAAGATTTTTTGCTACATACCAACAACTTACGTCCTGGTCGTCTCACAGCATCCATTCGGGCCCTTCCAAGCAACTACTAGTAATTTCCAAGGTAGCTTTAGGTTGCAAGCTCGCGTTTATGGCATTTATGATGCGACTTAAATCAGGTCACCTGTTTAATTAATGTATAATTGACAGACGACCACCGCGTCTAACCCAGACATCTACATTCATTTTTCTCTAGTTCCGACTTTCTAGTTGTAGTTTTTCGTGTACTCGGACCCACGCACCTTAGCACTTCGTTCGTGCTTTCACAACTACATGTATGCCTCCACCGCGTTAACCTCCTCGCGGGATAGCAGCAGCCTGGACAAGCTCCGTAGCCGCGTATTGAATCATGACTGTAGTAGCACGAGCAATCTTTGGGCCATTGCTCAGAGCCTTAACGTTACTGGTAGTAGCAGTCGCCGCCTTAGGCATTTCCGAGATGCCCAAGCCTGAGCTGGATACGGCCTCCGGGATCTTGGCCGGCAGGCCCTTGGACTCATCGACAAACGCAGCAGAAGACTTAGCCAGTTCGGGGACGGAAGTCACAGCTGTCTCCACATTATCCACAAGGTCAGCCATAGCGTCGACGAGCTGAGCAACTGGCGCTCTGAGCTTCTTGAGCTTGCGTAGATCCATCTCCTCCTCGCCGTTCATGATCTTGACGCTGCCATTCTCGTTGGTTGCAATGCTCAAATCTCCGATATCCTCGACCTTAGCTAGTTCCTTCAAAAGAATCGTCGTAGCTTCTGTCAAACTCGTGACATGAGCCTGCATCATCAGCAGCTTACGAAGCGTGAAGACCGCAACGTTCACGTCACGAACCAACATTTCGAGTTGACCTCGTTTGGTCACAAACAGCCGGCCGTGCTTTTCAATGTAGTCACAGAGCGGGTCATCCGTTGGAGGCTTTTCCAGTACAGTATTCAAGTTGGTGATGATGTTCTCGCTGTTGTCGAACGCCTCTTTTAGGTCTTCGCTGGAGCTGAGCTTCTCATCGCGCTCCTCCGGTGTGAGGACATGGACTTGGTCCTTCTTGTCGAATTTCCAGAGTACCAACGCCACGCGACCACCGTGACCAACAGAGAGTCGCACTTGGATCTCGCCTTGCAGCGCTGCAGCCGCCGCCTTGAGGTTCTCCTCGCTCTCCGCGATGCTGTTGTGAATCTCTACCAGTTCGTTGAGTGGGGCAGCAGCGGACTCGAAAAACGAGTCAAAGTCGGGGATCTTGGTCTTGCGGATCAAGATTAAATCCAACTCCTTGTCTGCTGGATCACGAGGGGCACACACGTGCTTGCTGACGCCAGAACCGGAGCAAACTTGGCCCATGATGCTGTCGTTGAGGCGAAGGAGTCCGGTGGAGGAGGAGCTTCTTGGGGGGAAGAAGAAAAACGAGAAATGAAGCTGGAGAGCGCAATGCTGGAGGGATGGACCCAGGAGGTGATAGTGTCCTGTGGTAATTTACCATTGGTAAAAGCAGTCGCCGCGAGAGAACGAAGGAGCATTTTTTCCAGCGACTAGTGTGTCATGGGTTCAACTGGTCCTGCTTGACACTCCGAAACCAGCTGCGAGGTTCTTCCACGGTCGCTTATGCTGACATCACTGACAACGAATCAACAAGGGGCCGGTAAAAATTTCAGTGCTGTGCAGAGAGACAACGTGTTGCCGATGACTCAAGACGAATGCAGTTGATCGTCATTTTGATCGTCATGTTGAAGTTATCTCAATTTAAAATGTATCCATTTCTATTTTGGTTCATATTTTATTTAGAAATTGTTTTCATCCAATCCCAACTGGTCGACAGTCTTTTATTCCACCAATCATCTGCCTCGTCCTTCCTGCCAGTCATGTAGTCTTTCATTTCCAACTCGTAGCAACATGCGTGTCCTTGTAGGTGACGAGACTGGGCTGCTCAAGTCCATTGAGCTGGAGAAGAACGAGCAGCGCATCTTATCCAGTCGCGAGCAGCCTCAAGCCCGATCTCGGGGCATTCAGCGTCTCTGCTGGTACGCGGACGAGCGTGATGCTGCAGATTATCAGCGCAATGTGGTGTTGGCACGCGCGGACGGTGTCGTGGAGAGCTACGAGGCGTCACACGGCAAGAGTTTGAGCGCTGCCAAAGAGCCAGATTGGTCCTGGCCTGCATCAGATAAGGAACAGAGCAAGACGCGCTGTGTTGGACTCGACGTCATCCGTAAATTCGGTTCGGTGGTGCAATGTACGGACACAGGCGACGTGGTGGTGCGCAGTACGCTGGAGGACGCAGGCAAACCTGCAACGTTTAATGTGGACGGGGATTTGAACATGATGCGACTTGAGCCTGCAACGCAGACGGTCATTGGTGTGGGAGGCAAGGAGCACGACTTAAACCTGTGGTCCCTAGAGACCCAACAAGTCCTTTTTAGGGCCAAGAATGTGACGCACGACAAGCTGGACATGCGCGTGCCCGTGTGGGTCAAGGACCTGCGTTTTCTGTCCACCCCTGGCAACAGCAACGGACACCGTGTCATTGTGGGCACAGGTCATCGCCATGTGCGGATCTACGACTCCAACACCAAGAGAAGACCAGTGCAGCAGCTCGACAATTTCGGCGAGAACCCCATTCAGTCGCTGTGTGTGTCACCGGATGAGACTCGAGTTTATGTAGGCGACACGGCTGGTAACTTGGACATTCTGGATCTGCGTACATTGAAGCACATGGGTCGCTGTACTGGTCCAGTGGGCTCAATCCGTGACATCGCATGCCACCCGACACTACCGTACATCGCGGCGGTGGGGTTGGACCGCATGGTTCATGTGTTCGACGTCAACACACGCAAGTATCGCCACACGATCTACGCCAAGCAGCGTCTCAACAGCGTCTTGTTCTGTGCTGACGGTCTCAAGGACATTCCAGTGGCTGATGACGAACCTTCGCGCAAGAAGCAAAAGTCTGGAGACGAAGAGATGACGTTTGATGACGACGATGATGAAATGGAGGAGGAAGAGTACGAAGGCCTCGAAATCAGCGAAGAAGATGACCATGATGAAGACTCGGAAGACAGTGACAGTGACTAAATCTACCCGTTGTCTCTATAGAATAGACACGTGCACAGTTCATGTTTTACATATCCAGGTTTTTGAATTAGGTTTAGAACCTAGTCAGTTCTAGTTTCTAGTTCTTGACACGATCGAAGACGATGATCATCTCGCAGTGCGGCGTGTGTGGGAACATGTCGACGGGGACGGCGTGTACAGGCTCGAAGGCCTGGCCCTGGATGGACTTGGTGCTGGGACCACACAGCGTCACTGCGTCTCGCACTAGAGAGTTGGTTGGGTTGCACGACACGTACACGATGCGCTCCACTGGCGGACAGGCACGCAGAGCTCGCAGCACTTGATGGTGAAGACCAGCGCGCGGAGGGTCCACGATGGCCACGACGCGGTTCAGATGCTGCTCGCTCTCGTCTCGTTTCTTGTGCAGCAAGTCCTTCATCACATCCTCAGCCTTCGAGTTGACAAAGCTCACATTCTGGACGTCGTTCAGTACCGCGTTCACCTTGGCGTCGTCCGTAGCAGGCTTACAGATCTCAATACCCACGACTTTGCCCACACCTTTCGACGCACAGATACCGATCGTACCAGTGCCGCAACACACGTCATACAGCAGCGTGTGTTCGTCCGCGTTAGCGTACTGCTTCACCAACGAGTACAGCTTCTCTGCACCACGAGTATTGACCTGGAAGAAGGCGTTCGGAGAGACTGAGAAGCGCATACCCAGCAGATATTCCTCCAGCTTCGTATTGCCGTATACGTGCTCCACTGGGTCGTTATCCGAAGGAGCCGAGAGACCCTCGTACTCCTGCATGAAGATAGATGTGATCTTGAATGAGTTGCTCTCATCTGTAAGTCGCTTCACCACCAGATCTTTGACGGCAGCTCTCTCTTCATCAGTCTTGTCTTTAGGGTTCACCTGCACCATGACCATCAGTTCTCCGGTATTCACACTCTGACGCACTGTCAGTACACGCCACACTCCGCTCTTCGTGGTGACATTGTACACTGGAACATCTGATGTCTCTAGGATGTTCTGCATCACAGCACAGACGGCCTTCATCTCCTTGGATACATTGATGCACTCGTCCGGCTTACTGACAACCACGGAGCCTTCACGGAAGAGACCGAGACGGAAACCCACACACGGTTTGTCTTCCTTGTCGAACCCGAAGCTGAATTCGCACTTGTTCCGATATCCTTCGGTCACAGGAGAGGCGTGGATGGAGTCCATAGGACAGCATAGACCGTTGTGACTCGCAAATCCCGTAAAGTTCGCTCCCTTGATCTCCTCCGTTAACGCCACAGAAGCCTTCACTGTACCATCTTGCTGCACGAACTGCAGAGATTCAGGCGTCAGGAGGATAAACAGAGTGTTGTGCGACGTGATACCAAGTGCTTCAGGCATCTTCACGTCGAACTTCTCGAACTTCAGAGCTTCCAACGCTGTTCCGTCCAGCGGAGCGCGTGACCACGGCGCAGTCGCATTGAGAGCGTACAAGTAGCCATTGTGTAGTCCGATAATGGAAGCGCCAGGGACCTCACCCAGCAGCTTCCACTCTCCCGAAGCAAAGCGACCTGTACCTTCCTGCTTAAAGATCTTACCGTCGCTCGTACAGCTCAGTAAAGTGCCACGTAGCGACGCGAACGACGTGATCTGAGAGCCTTCAGGTCCGCTGCAAATCTTTTCCCATGCCAAGCCACCATTGCACGACTGGTCGGGCTTGAGAGCGTAGATGTTGTTGTCTGTCTTGGCAGCCACCAGGTCGCTACCGAACGACACGATCGCCGCCACATCTGTTGCATCTGCCACTCGTGTCCAAGGCGTATCGGCTTCAGCTTCGTGGGCACGCGAGTACAGCACGTTATTGGCTACAACATAGATCGAACCGTGGCTGTTAAGCCATTTGGGGATCTTCAGCGAGTACTGCGGCTTGGCGTCGTCAACGTACACCTCCGCAGGCTTCACCTGTTCAGTGTTTTCTTCCTTTTCCAATTTGCGTTTCTTTTTTGCCACATTGCGCTGGTCTTGAGCCACCCGCTTCTCCTTCTTACCGAACTCCTTGCGGGTCTGACGTACGATCTTGACTAGGACTTTCTTCATCTCCGCCTCCTTGCGTTCAAGCTGCTCCTCGTAAGGCACAGAGGCCCACGGAGTGACCACGTCGCGAACATCACGCTGCGAGACGTCCTCCTCCTGTTGTTCCTGCTGTGCTTTTCCCGCCTCCTCAGGATCGCGCTTGTTGCGCTTGCGCATAGGCTTCATGCTCCTCTTGGGAAGCGCGTCCTTGACTTCCAGGAGTTCGCCGTTCCACTCGATGGCTTGAAGCTTCAGCATTGCCTCAGCACGCTCCTCCTTGGAGTGGAAGTGCACGAAGCCGAAGGATAGCTGTCGTGCCTTCTGCACCTTGAGGAAATTCACGCCCTTTTGACGCAGCAGCTCGCTCAAAACCTTCGATTCCTTCCACTTGCCGTAGTTCATCACGATCACCTTGACCTCCTCCTCCTGGCGCGCGTCATTGCCCTGAGGCTCGGCGGCAACATGCACCTCGTCCTTGCTGTCCATCGTCTCCACTCGATTGTGATGCTTCAATTGCTGGAGAGCACGAAGTTACCTCTTGATTGGACAAAATACAAATTTCCTGCATAACTTTGTACACAAGGTATAGGGACCTGGCGCTTGATTGGACAAAACTATTCAAACTGTATAAGTTTATTCGCAACCTCTCATGATTCTGACATGTGAATGGCACAGCATTGCAGAAGCTGAATATGGTCGAGATGGAGCTGGAGCCGACATCGACAACATTGACGCACCGCGCCGTACGCGGCTGGTTGGAACCGCTACTTCATCCTACAGAGCTTCGCGAGGGATTCCAGGTGTCGGTGCACGCGTGTCCGCGGCTGCTGATGCGTGAACTGAAGCACGTATTCCCGACGCAGTTCCAGCGCAGCAAGAATGACGCCGATGTGTTGGCCGTACTGACGTGCCAGAAGTCGCTGATGGACTTGAGCGAATTCGGTGTCGACGCCGATAAGGAGAAGGACCGATTGCTCGAGACTTTCATGGCCTTCGCGCAACAGGTGGCCAACGCACTCATCGCCAAGAAGTACTGGGCGGATTTCATCGACCCGTGCTCCGGGCTGCCGGTACGAATGTTAAAGTGAACACATTAAAGTATGCGTTTCTCATGGATGACATGCTCATTTGGTGTAGATGTTGACGCTGTCGAGCAACAAGGTGTACAGCGAGGTGGATGGCGTGGAGCTACTGCTGCGATACCGGTGTCTGAGCGCTGGAATGTGCAAGATTCTGGTACATCCAGTTTGGGGCGCTGCCGTATATCCGGCCTCATTATTCACAACGGCACCCTACGAGGTGGTGAAGGAGGTGCTACATTCACTCCCAGACGATGCCTGGATCGTCGGCACCTAGTGCTTCCTCCAAACAGCTAAGGTTAAACAGCCTCTCGCTTGTACTAATACCTCCAATAACCAAGCATATCCACACCCGTCCTTGTGATGACAGCAGCTCTTAAGTTGTACTTGTAGCCGCCATGCTCAAAAAGAATGCTGATGTCCATTTTACAATTATTGAAAATGTAATTTGTTCAATTGATCTCTTCGACAATAATTGCAATCCCACCTAATCACAATTGGAACTGATGGCGGTCCGTGGCACGAGCGCGAGCCAAGACGGGCGCTACTTGGCGCAGGAGAAGAAGCTGCTGGCCACGATGACGTTCCCCAAGTGCTTCGAGCAGAGCGTAGACATGCGTAAAGTGCAGCGCGAGGTTATTAACCAGTGGATCACAGAGCGGATCACGCAATTGTTGGGCTTCGAGGACGATATTGTGGTATCTATGGCCATTAACCTGCTGGAAACCAAGGTGGATGAGAAGCTGGACCCAAAGAAACTGCAGGTAGCACTCACAGGATTCCTGGAGAAGCAGGCGGGCCCCTTTATGGAGGAATTGTGGCAGCTTCTGCTCAGTGCACAGAGCAATCCTACAGGAATCCCCAGTGCCATTCTGGACAAAAAGAAGCAGGAAATGCAGACCATTGCGCAGGAGAAAAGTAAGCTCAAGAAGGTATTGGACACTAAGAAGAAGGAGAACGAGAGACAGCGCAGACCACAGGAAGACGCTACTAAGAACGAACGACGTGAGAGAAGACGGTCGAGGAGCTTGCAGAGACGTCCGCGTAGTCCACCGCGACACTTTCGTAGTCCGAGACGCTCGCCGAGTGTCAAGAGACGATTAAGGAGTCCTCCGCGTAGACGGAGACGCTCTCCAAGTCCACGTAGACGCTCCAGGAGTCCGCGAAGACGGTCCCGCAGCTCCCCGCGTGGGCGTTCAAGACGTGGGCGATCTAGGTCGCCGTCTGTGAAGCGTCATCGTAGAGACCGGTACGTAACGTGGCAGGATTTTTTGGTGATATTGGTTTATTGACATTGGTGCTTGCAACTAGATCGGCGTCTAGATCCCGTGAGCGACGTTCCGAGAAGAGGAAGAGGTCTTCGAGAGGAGAGAACAGGTACCGTACGCTGAATCGTATGTGTATATGCGAGTTTCTCATTGTTGTTAATCTTTGAATTCACAGAAGCCGCCGCCCTCGTCGTTCGCCGTCCAGTTCTTCGACGGCATCGCGTCACCGATCTCCATCTTCGTCTCGCTCACCTTCACCTCGTCGTGGGTCGCGTACATCTTGTCGAAAGGGTTCCATTGAAAGTGAGTCCGATAGCGACTAACGTGGAGCTTTTAACGCTGAGATGGACAGTTATTTTAGCTAGTCCAAGCCATCCGACGCGGTGTCCGCTCACCAAGTGACGAATACATTTTTGCATTGAATCCAGTCGCTTCGACTCCTTTGCAATGCTCTCTCGTTTCGGCTTCGGGCAAGAAGCCATCGCTGCAAGCGGCAGTGACGCCGAGATCGCGGCTTTTCTTGAGAAGGAAGCGGAGGAAGCAAATGCTAAGAAGAAAAAGGATAACAAACAGAAGAAACAAACTGATGAAGACCGTCCCAAGTTGTTCATGGAGCTGACATTGTCCGAGCAGCGGAAACTGGGGCAAAAGGCGCCAGTGTTACGCCAAGTGGAGGGAGATTCAGTCAACCAGCGGATTCGACTGTACCGGCGCACGATCTTCTTTCACATTCATTGTGAGCTCACGTTTTGTGCAAGTATGTTTACTTGTATTTTCAAGATTAACTCTCGTGATGCTTGAAGCCAAGCTCGACCACAATGGCTATATTGCTCAACGACTGCGCTTGAATAACCAGAATCCTAACGGCAAAGATGTGAGCTTTCTGTCAAGCGAATAGTTTCTGCTTCAAACTCACAAGCTGACATGCAATAGGAAAAGGGTCGGACTGCGCTGCATTATGCTTGTAGACATGTAAGCTTTGAAAGCGGTGAAGAAGCAACGTACGTGTCGTTGAAGTATCTGTATTTTGTCTGCAGGGTGCGGAGGGGGTAGTTCGAACGCTTCTCCACGAGGAAACCACGATCGATGACCCAGATGTACGTCAATTTTCGCTTATCTCGCTGCCAACTCTGATGTTGACATCTTTTCAGTTGGAAATGCGCTGGACTCCCTTGCACTATGCTGTAATGGGAGGACATGAGAAAATTGTGCAGCGGCTAGTGGAAAAGGCCCCAGTGCGGCGTATCACGATCAACCGGAAAGATGTGCGTTCGGTTTGATGAAACTACTTTAATTGCTCATATTCTCAACACACGCGTTGCTTTTTGAACCAGAAAAATGGAATGACGCCGCTGATGCTGGTGAGTAGGATGTTTGGAGTTTATCAGAGACCAAGCTGTAACGTGCTACTTGTTGCAGGCTTGCGGTGAGGACCATGCTGGCGTTGCTAAGCTACTGCTTCGCAAAAAGGCTTTCATCGACGAAACGGATGTACGTACTTTACTAACTACACGCACTGCTTTCAACTCGAGTCATGGTACGCTTACAATCCATTGATGCCAAAGAACGACGGCTGGAGCGCACTTCACTATGGTACGCGCTGGCATTGTTGCTACTTCTGTCCGTTTACTGACATCGCCTGCTTTCCAGCCGCTGCGAACGACGCTGCTCTAGCTGCGGAAGTCCTCGTTCAATACGACATCAACCTCAAGGCCAGGACGGAATCCACGAACGAGACTGCGCTCGAAATGGCCGAACGACTTCGCTCACATCTTGTCGCCATTTTACTATACGAAGTGACGTATCGAACGCATTAGCATGATAGCAGGCGGAGGTCATATTAATCTAATAGAGCCGCGCTCTGCTTACGATCGAAGACCATTGAGAGGTCCATTCTCTACGATATCAAAGCTTCATGGCTGGGTGTACGGCAGACCGACGTTGCCCCAGTCACAGGCCTCGGACATGACACGCGCGACCTCCACGAAGGTGCGTTCGTCCTCAGCCGAAAAGCCGTTCTTCTGTGGGCAGTCGAGATCAATGAGAGCGATGACCTCCCCCTGCTTATCAAAGACGGGAACTACCAGCTCAGACTCAGACGCGTCGTCACACGCAATGTGGCCGGGGAACTCGTGCACGTCCTTGATACGCTGCACCGACTTGGTACGCCACGCGGCGCCGCACACGCCACTCTGGAATCGAATACGACTGCACGCAGGTTTCCCCATGAATGGCCCGAGGATCAGAATGTGGTCGTGGTCGGTCTCTTTGGGGTTGGCTAGCGGTCGGACGAAGTAGAAACCCGCCCAGTTAATAGGACGTTCAGCCTCCGTAAACGCATGCCAGATGATAGACGACACATTGGCGGCGTTGGCCACGTAGTCGCGCTGGCCAGTGGTGGCGGTGAAGGCCGCTACGTCGCCCAGTAGCTCCTCAGTGTTGATAGGGGACAGGTAGTTGTGCAGTTGGGTCTCATCCGGACAGTCCGGACTCCATCCGATGTGCTGTACCAGCTTGTTAACGCGGTCCTTAAGCTCTCCTTCCGTCGTGACGGTAGTTAGCTCCTCGCCGTCCTTAAAGACTGTAAGACTCGATGCCTCCATCTCCTTCGACGACAGCAACAGCGTCTACAAAGGATCACATAACTGTCAGTCTCCTGTTTTGTGCCGTAACAGTAGGGCGGCGTACAATGTCATCACGGCCACGGAAGAGGAAGGCGAGCGGGGCGATGAGTTTCTGCAGCTCGCGCTTCTGCTTGCGATCGGGCTCCTGAGGCAAAGAGAGCGCCACTACAGGTTTGGTTTTTGACTGCGCGGAGACCTCCGTCTCCTGAACGGAAGTGAAGAGCTGCAGAGCAGCGTCCAGCGGAGTCGACTGCGTCATCTTGATCCTCTTGGTGCAAATCTGCAAGTGACGTCAGCTTACACTTGGTCCCTTTTTCACTCAAGTCGCACATGGCACGAGTGGCTGCGGTGTCTGAAGACGAAGGCCGTGGTTATCAGCGTCACTACACCAAGCCAATCATCTCGGTTCATTCGTCTTTCGTGTACACCGCAGAGAAGTAAGCAGATAGTGGGGTCTATTACATTTCATGTATCCTTACAAATGTAAAACGTACGAGTGCACTTCACTATGGTACCGTTGGCTTTCAAATTCTTTTTCCTGCACTCGTATCGATGCCACAGCATTCAGCAAACTATCGTAAAATCAAAAATCTATCGTTGAGAGTCAACTCAATACGTTCTTGACGAGTGACTGTGTGATGATCGGGAGAGCAACCGCCAAGATGTCGATATCCGGGTCAAGTTTCCGGCCAACCGCTTCCAATACCGCAATGGAGACAACGATGGAGGCGTATTTGCCCTCCAGCTTCACTTCATGTGTACAGCAAAGCTCCATCACTTGGCGGAGAAGTGCTCCCACATGCACCTTCTTCAAACTGAGTCGCCAGCTCAGTGCGTCGTTCACAATCCGCTCCATCCCAGTGCAGAAAGACTCGAGATCTTTGCACTTGGTCGGAATGATAGCTCCATTTGGACCTATTCGCCCCTTACTTCTTGCCACAATGAGCTCACCAGCCTTGTACCCATTCCCTGTGGCTACTGCGTGGAATAACTCGACAAAATTACGCAGATCTTGTTGCTCTAGCTTCGTCACGATACCGGCATCAATCACCACCACACCAGCATTGCGAATGGCTTCAGAACGCGACACCCGCGAGTTTCTACCGCCATCTTGCTCGTCAAACAAAAGATTTCCTGGATGTAAATCTCCATGCGCAAAGTTATCAAGGAAAACCATCCGAAGATACGCTTCCAGCACGACGCGAGCCACAGCTTTCCGACGTGGCAGCTCCATTTGTGAGAAGATCTCACTGAAATGTAGACCATCTTCAAAGCTCTCCACTAATACATTTTCTGTTGTATAATCCATGCGTGGTACGGGAAAGCGAAGTCCTTTGCGATTGCGGAAATGTTCACTAAACAAGGTCAGATTCTCACCTTCCGTGCGAAGATTCAGCTGTCTCTCCATAAGGGACGCAAACTCCGTGACACTATCCTTTCCTCCGAGCCATCGGAGCGTCGGTATGACTTCAAATATTGCCACAAAAGTCCGTAAAAGCTGTAGATCCAGTGCCACCATTTGCTTTACGTGAGGATGGATGACTTTGACTGCCACTTGTTCGTTCGTCTCCTTGATATGACCTCGATACACCTGTGCAATGCAGCCAGAGCCAATTGGATGATCATCTACCTCCAATACGTCTCTCCAATTGTCTCCAAACGCCATTTTTAATGCATCTTCCGTCTGTGCCCACGAATGCATCGGTGCGTGCTCGTGGAACGTCTCGAATCGGTCACAGAATGACGCAGGGAACATATCGCGACGGGTGCTCGCCCACTGCAGGAATTTCATTACAGTTGGAGAGGAATATTGCGCCAGCCATAAAGCAAGCTCCCACCAGTGTTCTACAACTGTAGGCATCAACGTACCGGCCGAATAAGCCACAGGAGCCGTGAGTGCTAGTGGAAGCGCCAGTCCCAGTAGCTTGGCGAAGTGAAGCGCCACGCGGATCAAACGACGTAGTGTCTGCACTAGAGATTCGTTTGACGGAGAAGTGGCCAGTATTCTGGGGAACACGCGGAGCAGCTCCGCATTGCGGCACGTCCAGGCATCGCGGGCGAGACGTGCGCGGATGTCGAAACAGAGTTTTGAATGTGCCACGAGCGCTTGATGCGGAACCAAACGTGGCCATGTCGACAGCTGAGACTTGTGTACGGTACGAAGGAGACGACACGGTGGACGAGCTCTAGCCACGGCGCCGCCCCGACCCAGCATGAAGGCGAGCACCATGTACCTGGATGGTTAGTGGCTGCTTACGTACTGCGGCTATTGGAAGGTTGCTCCAGTCGAATCACATTCACGTAACATCGAATGACGAAAGGATCTGGCGTGAATGTTGCACAATAGGTGGGCACTCGCGCAACATCGATCGGTGTGGTCTACGTAATGCATGTACACGTACGCATTTTTGTCAAGTACTTCCCAAGTATGCCGAATGCCTGTGGACGGACGCCGGCGTGGCCGAATAATGACGCGCGTCCGGAGCTGCAAACGCTACATGGACGCATTCTTCGCTTTGTGTTGCTGTGGCATCTGTTCGGACTGTGGATTGTCGGCCTGGCGTCGTTCGTAGGCATGTGGCTGTTCTCGGGGTTCTGCATACTGCGGTCATTCTGGAGTTTGCTACAGAATGGAGGCAGCTGGACTGCAGCCACGCCACTGCCTCTTGTTGTGCAGGTTTATCTGGCTGGGATAATCATGTACGAGAGCTATCATTTTGTAACGCGAGATTCGCTGCATGAATGGCCGTTGATGCGACGCATGGCACGCTTTGTGTTCCTGCACTACCCGTACTTCCGACTGAACGCCGTGGTGTTCGAAGAGCGACAGGAGGCGAAACAGAAAGCCGAAATACCAGAGCCAGAGCAGGAGAAGGATAGCGATTATATTGCAGACAAGAGCGACGACGCTGGACACTTGAATTTCAAGACTGCAGTGGCATCAATCGAGGGGAACGATGTGACTCCGTATGTAGAGCCAGACAAGCGCGCGCTGTTCACGTTTCACCCTCACGGAGTACTTACGTGCGGATTCTCGTTCAACGGCGCTCATCACATGGCCTTCCAGCGCGCGGCATGCCGCTGGATCTCGGCCGAGAACCTCTTTTACTTCCCGATCATGCGCGATATATTGCACTGGATGGAGTTCAGCAGCAGCGCCAAAGCCAGCATGCAGAGCATTATGAGCACCGGCCAAAACCTTTGTCTTTTGCCCGGAGGTTTCGAAGAAGCCACGCTCTACCAGCGAGGAAAGCACCGCGTGTACATCAAGAAGCGCTTCGGCTTTATTAAACTCGCACTTCAGCATGGCTACGATATTTATCCAGCGTACACATTCGGTGAAGAGTACACCTACCATGCTTTCCCGTATCTGCAGTGGCTGCGTTTGCAACTAAACCGGTTCCGAATCCCAGGCGTCATCTTCTTCGGAATTCCGCTCTGCTTCTACATGCCGCGCTCCGATGTAGACCTCATTACCGTCGTCGGCAAGCCACTGCGGCTACCACACATCGAGAACCCCAGCAAAGATGTGGTTAAGCAGTACCACGACAAGTATGTCGAGGCACTGCGAGGACTATTTGACAGCTACAAGGGTGTCTACGCCGTCGACCCAGACGCCGAACTAGAATATTTCTGATATTTGACCAATCATAAAGCCGAAAGACGTGCTTTACATTGCTTTTACTTCGAAGTATTTAGAAATGTAAATGATGCTGCGGTCTTCAGTGCGTCGGGTGTGGCGCCTCGGGAGGCCGCTCCACGAGCACCAAGGAAGAACCCCGCACTCTCGAGTGTTGATACACTGCTACGGCTCGATAGTATCGGGAGAGGGTATCAATTTAAGTGATCGTAGACCCTCTGAGGTGCTCCAGGATGATGTGCGAAATGGGGAGCGGGAGACGGAAAAATGCGTCAGAGGGGGAGTGCTTCGGAGGAGAAGATGCTGGTAGGGCTAAGGATGTACAAGGAGAAAATGAAGACCTTTTAGTGCTAGTGGCGTTTGCCGTACCACCGGGTGATGAAGGCTGGCCACAAACACTGTGGGGATACAGGCTTGGTGGGGCAGTGAATAGACTTGGGGGTCGATCTAAGCTCCAAGGAGGCAAGCAGACTTTGTCGATACAGATGGCTGACGAGCTGAAGAAAATGGGTTTTGTTCCAGACGTGGTGCTGTTCAAATGGGATCATTATGTTCTACCCAGTCTACGCCAGTTCCTGACGCTGCATGGTATTACGGATGTTCCGCGAGATTTTGTAGTGCCGACTAGGGATGAATCATAGCCGAAGTTGGCGTGGGGTAGACGGCTTGGTAGTACCGTTGCTGCAATTCGAGCAGGGAACAATCATGCTTCTCAGTTTGCCGAATCGAAGGTGGAGCTTGAAAAGATGGGATTCCGCTTCACTACTCGTTCTGAACGCGATTGGACGGAGAAGATTCTCCCTTCGTTCAAACTACGTAAAGCTGCTCACTCTCTACATGGTCAATGTGCGTTAAAGGTCTGCGAGCGTTCTGCAACACTGCGAGTGGTAGTATCTTAAAATGGGATGTGTTGCTGACTTTATTTCAGCGAGCTTGGCCTTTTTTGGCGGATTGTAGTGGCTTGACCGTTGTAAACGTGCTTGGCTCGCGGGCATCATCAGAGTTTTCATGGTCTGAGAACGCCTTGCTTGCTTGTGATAATATGGTTGTGGGATAGCTGTATCAATTGACCACGGTACTCCGTAGGCGAGGATGCAGCGTAACAAAAATGCAAATGCATGTACGAATAAAGACATTGATCACGGTAACGACACCGTGAACCTGTCGAGTCAGAAATAAAGGCATACTTAGAAAACCCTGTTAGAATAATACTCGCGCTGAAATATTCTAGTCGATACTGAGCTGGAAAATCTGATCATACTAAACAATGTATGGAGACGACAACCCAACAAGATTGCGCGCAGTTGAAGCAAGCCAAGGAAAACGAAATCGCCAACTTCAAGTTCAGTCCATCCACACAATGCTATTCTAAAGGTCTCCATCCGATACAAACCTTGTTTCCATGAGCTTGTTTGAAAATAAAAACATGGAGTTTAACAAACGACAACTCGTCCGCCCTTCTCATTCTTGAACTCGTCTTCAAGCCCCCAAGTCTTTTCAGCCCCGATATAACCACGATGACCTCGCGACTTGCCTCATCCGCTGCCGCCGCTCTGCGTCGCCGCCAGGATCCAAAGCTCGCGGAAAAGTTCAATCTGGCCGCTCTGAACGGCGGCAAAAGCCCCTTTGTCGTGTCGAGCAACCGGCTACTGAAGGTGAACAAGAAGCCGCAGCAGCGCATCACGGATAAGTTCTCGCTCGAGTATTTACTGGGACCCAGCAAGCCTCAAACGGGCAAGAAGAAGAACCCTTTCCACGTCGCCAGCTCCAAGCTCATGTGAGCTACAGGCCCAAGGAAGGACGCAGCAGCCGCCACTTACTACTATCCTGTTCCGCATGTATAATCTACAAAAATACTACTACGTTTGGCCGCCAGACATGATGAGGTTATAGTTATCCTTCCCCTACGCTTTGATAGGGAAGGCAGATAACTTGTCGCCAGTAAGTAAAAGCAGCAGCCTCTTGGTAAGAACGATATGTCTAATATCACGGGGTGACCAACCTGATAGCAGCACGCAATCACGTATGCGACAATCATTCTGACGGTTTTTGAGGCTGTCATCTTGCACACACTCTTGAATACATCGTGCCGGACACAATAATGGGCAACGTCGCTCGGTTGCAGCACGCTGCTGCAGGGCGGACACCCTCTTGGCCCGACAATAATGCAATTCCTGAGCTGCAAACGCTGCGCGGATACGTAGGTCGCCGTTTCTTGTTGTGGTCGCTCTTCGGTCTCTGGATCTTCGGGCTTGGAGCGTACATCGTCATGTGGCTCTACTCGGGTGTGTGCGTTGCTCGTTGGGCTTGGGCAGCGCTGCAAACCCGCAGTTGGATGCTCGCAACACCACCGCCCATTAGTGTGCAATTGTATCTGGGATTCACGGTGCTGTATGAGAGCTATCACTACGTCACGCGCGATTCACTGCATCTGTGGCCGCGCATGCGGCGTCTAGCTCGATACATTCTGCTGCATTACCCATACTTCCGTCTGAACGTGACCATCTTCGAGGAGCGCGAACTAGAGAAGCAGCAGCAGCGACTAATGGAAGACCAGGACGCCACAGTAGACAGGGAACACCTCAGTCCAGCTGCAGCTATCAAAGCTGTCGAGGAGAACGATATCTCGCCGTACGTGGAGACTGGAACCAAGAACTTGTTCGCTTTCCACCCCCACGGAGTACTGACCTGCGGCTTCTCCTTCAATGGCGCGTACCACATGGGCTTCGAGCGCTCTGCGTGTCGATGGCTATCTGCTGAAAACCTCTTCTGGTTCCCTCTCATTCGCGATATCCTTAACTGGATGGAGTACAGCAGTTGTGCCAAAGCCAACATGCTCAAGTTCATGCGTAGAGATCAAAACGTCAGCATCATCCCTGGCGGCTTTGAAGAAGCCACACTCTATCAGCGAGGCAAACATCGCTTGTACCTTAAAAAGCGCTTCGGCTTCATCAAAATTGCACTGCAACACGGCTACAATGTCCACCCAGTGTACACTTTTGGTGAGGAATACACCTACCACGCCTTCTCGTACTTGCAGTCGCTGCGATTGCAACTGAATCGCCTTCGAATCCCCGGAACGATCTTCTTTGGAGAAGCTTCGTGCTTTTACATGCCACGCAACGACATAGACCTCATTACTGTCGTTGGCAAACCTCTGCGATTCCCACGAATTGAGCACCCAACGAAGGAAGATGTACAAAAGTATCAAGCGCAGTACGTAGAGGCATTGAAAGGTCTCTTCGACAGCTACAAGGGCGTCTACGCCGTTGACCCCAACGCAACGCTGGAGATTTTTTAAATTGTAGAAAATCTGACAACTACAGAAATGCTCATGAAACCTTTAGGTGATGAAAGCACACTGTTAACGTAATTGTGTGGAGATTCACCGATCAGAAGATTTCGGCTCGAGCATGGCAGAATCGTATTGCACCGTTGCTCGACATTTACGCAACGCAGCGCTGTGGTGAAGGTATTCCTGAAGATGTCGTCATTCCATCAGAAGCTCCTTGGCCCGAGGAAGTGTGGGAAGTTCGTCAAGGGGTCACTGTAGCTCACAACGCTTCTCAAATTACTGCTAGGGGTCCAACAGGATCACGCTGCTAGCACGTGAAATGATCGTTAAGCACCGAGTCCAAAGCTTTTTTTTTTTTTTTTTTTGCATTTTGGCAAGATTATTCTATCTCACTGTTCTACCTCTTCAAAGTCGTCTTCTACAAATGGTGGAGTCTCGTCCATCATTCGCGACTTGAAAGGCTTGATCGATCGCTTGACGGGGCCGGTTCCTGCCACTGCTGGCTCGGGCATTTTCTTTTTTGCTGCTGCGGTGGCGCCTTTCACTGGAGTCTTCGGTTGTGCAGGCTTTTTCGACGTCTTAACTTTTGCGGCCTTGTTCAAAGCGCGTAATGTCTGGAGGTCGGTCAGGCCAGGGGTGAATAGTGCGAGTACCTGCAGACATTTCACGCAAAATGTAAGTCGAAGTATCAATGAATGGCAACGGGCTCACAATAAACTTACCCGGTTAAACATTCGATTGCGTTCCTGGCGCTGGTTGAGTGGCTTATAGTCTGGTTCCTTCATGTGCTTCTTGTCTTCCGTCTTCAGCATTTGTCTGGAAAATATAGAATGCAAATGATCAGCTATGACGAAATACGACGTAGCAATACTCTTACCGGTAGTCATTTTCTTTGGAAACCCACTCGTCCTGAAGCTCTAAAAGTGCATGTAGCTTTGCACCTAGTTCCTTGTCCTTTGCGATATCTGCAAGCAAATCAAGACACAGAGTGTTAGTTGTACATGCGCGCAACCATTTCTCAGCATCAACACTCTTGAAATTTACCCGCTTTGACCACATCGATAGGCTCAGCTGTAGCTCGCGTCCCGTATGTAGCAATGAACTGAGTCAGAGTTTCGAGCGCGCTATCCAGCTTCTCCCTTTCATTCCTCGCTACATCTCGTGCTTCCAGTCGTAGCATATTTGACTACAATGCAGTATGCAGTCAGCCTCAAATTCCACCACTAGACTATAAACCACATCCAAACCTTTAGATACTGCTTCGTGTAAGGCAAGAAGGTCATCAGTGTGGCGAAATATCCCGTCACACGCCACTTATTCGGGTGTGCTTCCACCACCAACTTATCAACCGCACGCAGTGGCTCATCCAGCGATCTCGGAAATACCTTCGGGATCGGCGCTGTCTCCGCCACTACAGCAAAAAGAATAAGTACCACAAAATTTTCCATCCATCGCTTTTTTTCTTCTTACATTCTTGCACTGCGGTCCTTAACACCTCGAGTTTCCTCACCACTTCTTCATTTGGCTGCCAGTCACTGGCTGCATCTGGCATCTCCGCCAGAAAAGACCGTAGCGCTCCATCCACCGCTCTCTTCTTGCCTCTCCTGCTTTTCCCATCCGACAGCTCGTCTTCCTCCTTCTCCAGCGTCTCAATCTCATCTCCAGCATTGACGAAGAAACCCGAATGCTTCGTTTTAACCCGCGTCTGTCCTCTGACCTCTTCGATATTCTGCTGCAGCTCCGTGTCGTCGATGAACGAGTCCTCGGAGTCATACAGGTCGTCGTCATCACGTCTATCTAAGCCACCAATGCCCACGTCGCCGTCGTCACCGTCGTTAAGCACAGCTCCACCGCCGTAGCGTTTTTCCAGGTGCTCGATGATGTTGAATCGCTGCGGACG